TAGAATTACTTATAATGGCAAAGGATTGAAAACAAATGTTAATCAGGCTACTCGTTAAATAAATTATGGTCCCTTTATAATTTGGAATACTATGCAGCCATAAAAATTAAAGAGGATATATAAAGATCTCTAAGATATAACGTTAAGTGAAGAAAATAAGACTCAGAAAAATATGTGTTTAGCATGCTACAGTAGTATAAATGGGAGGGAAAAAATAACATATCTTTATAGGCTTAAATATTCATACAAATTTTACAGGAATAACAACATGAACAATAGTTACCTATGCGGCCTAGGTGGGCTTGTGGGAACTGAATGATGAGTACAGAATGGCAGGGAACAATTTTCACTGTATTTTTAAAATTTATTTTGTTTATTTTTTGTTGTTGAGAATATACACAGCAGAACATACACCAATTCAACAATTTCCACATCTACAATGCAGTGACATTGATTACATTCTTCAAGTTGTGTAATCATTCTCGCCCTCCTTTTTTCACTGTATTCTTAATGTAATTCGTTTTAACTATGGCTCTGCGAGTAAATTATCTATTCAAACAATTAAACAAGAAAGAAAATAATTAGATCTACTCTATTGAGATGGTCATGGTAGTGTATCAACTGATGGAAGCAAGTTATGAATACCATGCAATTTTGTCCAAATTGTGTGTTGGTGTGTGTGTGTAGCTGTCTATATTTTTAATGAGTGTACGGACAGATGTATAAGCATCCATGTGAACTTTTAACCTTATTACTTCCGAAGTGTAGAGGGTTATTATGAACTCTTCCTTTATATGTCTTTGAATGGGTGAACAACACACTGCTTTTGATTTTTAAAAATGGACTAATCAAATTTTTTTAAAGAAATAAAAACATTTTTATGGTTATGTTTTGTACAACTAAAAATGAAATTTGTAGAAAATGTAAATAAATGCAAACACCTGTTTTGTTTTATTTTGTAGGTTATATTTATATGGGTATATGATCCAGAAAATGCAGATCATGATGAGTTGCTATGGAAAGCAAATGAACCTTCACTAGTAGGTGGAAGCATTGTTATTATTGTCATAGATAAAATAATATACTACCTTTCTTTTTTTAGGGCTGTGCATGATTTATAGTCAATAGACAGGATTTCAACCTCTCAGAGCTAACTATATACATTTTCATTATTCTTTAACTTTAGTTTAGCCATTATACTGATTTTTAATTTATGCTCCATTTCTATAATTATAAACCTTTCTTTAAAGTTCTTATTGAGCGTTCTCACTATTTTCTATGAACCTCATTGCAGTACGTCCCCGGGTTACGAACGTCCAATTTACGGATAGCTCGTGCTTGCCTTTCAGTGTTATATAAATTTGCCTTTCCTTTGAAATAATTGAACCAACCCTTACTTGCAACAAATTCGTTATCACAATCACCTTCGCTTGCTGCGTGTTCAGCTTTTAAATCACTGAAAAGACTTGGAGCCTTTTCTTGCCCTAAAGTAAGGCTAAATAAGAACCGTACGCAACTGTTCTACTTAACTACAAACTCGACTTAAAGACACACTTAGGAACTGAACTCATTCGAAACCTGGGGACGACCTGTTTTCCTGAAAGTGCAGACTATTAAAGCACTTTAAAGGTGTTCCTTGATCATCTATCTTGAAGCCATTCTTCAAAAATCTCTCTAATCCCAATTGAATCCTTTGCCTCTTGGAGAATAGTGAATTCTCTAAAAGTGCAACACAGTGAATAAATAAGTCCTTTTTTTTATTTGTTATAAATCTACCTTTTTCAAGATTTGCGTTCTGTCTATTGCAATTAAAATATATTGACAAGAACTCTAAAATGAGCAGTTAGCTGGCGATTTGTTTCTCATGGAGCTGTTTGCTTCTTAACGAGTCAAAATCTGTCTGACTTTTTTAATACGCATGTTATCATGATTCACAGTAATCAATTTCACGAGATGGGCTGATAAATCAGAATGACAAATTAATTAATCAATTAATTGTTTTATTTGGTAATCAAGTTTAGAGAGACTAAAATAAATTAATGGTAAGTACACACTTTAAGCATCACTCCTTTAATTTCTAATCTTTTAAAGTGAAATCATGCATTC